AGCAGGATAACTAAGAGGAGCTCCAGTAAGGGCCCGGCATCAATAGTGCAGCAGAAACCAGAGGCCTCAAAACAGACCAATGACTCTGCAATCAGCACTTGTAAGTGGAGATATATGGACCAAAGGGTTTACTGTGTATATAGACCTAATGCAGGTCTTGGACAGGGAAGGTGTCAATGCTGTGTGTGCCCTTACCCCCAGTCTTCCCTCAAGTCTCTAGACTTGGTAAACCACATTCAAATCACTTATGTTTGTAGTTGTCTCCCCAGTCAGCTATAATCTATTCAGAGGAGGTATAATATCTTATTTACCTCTGAATGAATCCCCAGTAACCTAACACAAGATCAAAAGGCATGTTAGCGCCATGAGTACCCTAGAACAAGCTGATAGATGAATTTTTTTAAATGTAATGGATAATACATGACTATAATCTAAAAGCACAATACTAAAAAGAAAGTGTCAAAAAAAAAAAGACACCTGACTCCCCTGCTCCACACCTCAACTTGCTCTGACACTATTTGAATTGTTCAAGGGCATACAAATAGGTAAAGCTTCTAAATACTTTAAAAGGGAAAATGCAGGGACCAGAGAGACAGATCAGCAGTTAAGAGTACTTGTTACTCTTACAGATGACCAGGACTCGATTCCTAGCACCCACGTGGTGCTCATAGCCACCCCTAAATCCAGTCCCAAGGGACCCAATGTCCCCTTTTGGACACTGTTGGCACCAGGCATGCATGTGGTGCAAATATGGACATGCAGGCAAAACTCTCTTGCACATAAACTAATCAATGTGAAAGAAAACTTTAAAGAAAAGTGTTAAGCATTGGGGTGAGGACCCAGTGATTGTTTCATGAAAGGAAGAATAGAAAACTATGGGGGAATCTCACTTTGACATTTGGATGAAATTTTTCAGGAAGATACTAACAAGCAGAACACAGAAAAACACTAAAAGAATATTGGTTTTTCTAAGTAATTCAGTACCTTCTACGCAAAGAGGTTAGTATTAAGCTTTGTATTAGTGGGAGTTACTATGGATGGGAAGTTGTGGACTCTTGAGTCAGCAGTTCAGGAGTTCAAGACCAGCCTGAGCAATATAATGAGATTCATCAAAGAATAAAAAGGGAGATGAGGAGTAGGCAGGGGGAGATAGAGATTGTTACTTATATTTAAAGACTTAGTAGGAAAATTGAGGTGACACTCTCCACTGATTCTGATAAAAATATTTGATAGAATTCAATCACTCTTGATGAGAAACATATATATTGCATATATATTATATATACATATATACACAATGCAAACAGGTTGGCAATGAACCCAGTGCACAGGTTCGTAATTCCAGACATTCAAGAAGCTGAGGCAAGAGGATTATGGGTTCAAGGCATGCCTGGGCTACACAGTGCATTCAAGGTCAACCTGAGCAACTTAGTCAGACCCTGTCTCTAAAAATAATAGAGAGATGGGACCACTGTGTTGTCAGCGGTGCCTGCCTAGCACAAAGAAAATCCTAGGTTCTGTACCGTATTTTTTTTGTACAAAGGAAGATATTTCCTGATGACATTTTCATGCCATTGCATTGCCAGCATAATCTTTGATGTCCTAGAAGCACGTTCTCTGAGCTCCAAGAGAAAGGCAAGAATACTCTCTTGCTATTTTCATCACTTTCTTAGTTTTGGAGACACTTGTTGCAGAGGTCGGAGTGGGGAGCTATTTCTACTTCTAATGGTTCCTTCCTCTCAAAAGGACCCCCAAAGGCAGTAATAATCCTGGCTTCTTCGTTTATCCACTCCAGGGAAAGCGGGGGTTAGTTTGGAGCTTTCTTCCTGGGGAAGAGAGAAAGACCTAGAGAATTAATATACATTCAATTAGTTACTGTAGGGGAAAACTGACAATACCAATAATAAAGATAAAATATCTAGAAATAATCTTAACTAGAAATGTTCAAGATCCCTGTGAAGAAAACTTTAAGGCACTCCAGAGAGACATAAACACATGCTTGAACAAAGGGGAGGGCCGAGCACATTTCTGACTGAGAAGACACAACATCATAAATACGTCAGTTCTCTCTAGGTCAATACCACGTGTCACGCCATCCCAGTGGAAAGATCAACAGTATTTTTTTTAAACGAATAAGTCAGTTCTACGGTTTGTATTGTAAAAATATGTATGTGATAATATTTCAGAAAGGTCTAAAAGGGAAAAGCAGTGAGGAACACTGACCCTGCCTTTGAAGCAGTCCTCACACAGCCATATGTATTAAGGCAACTCACCCCTGGCACACAGATTCGATAGAACACAGTGGAAAGACATATGGAATTGTGTATTGTAAAGCTGGCCTCGGACATCGGCGGAGAAAAGATGAATTATTCACTAGCTGATATGGAACCAACTAGGTAGCCTTCTAAACCAAAGCTGGGTTTAACTTCACACCTCACCCCAAATGGCTCAGAGATTTGGATCCGAAAGATGAAAGTTCACAAGAAGTGAGGGAGGGCAGTTTTATAATCCCCTTGAGGAGGACTTTTCTACATACGATAAAGACGACATTTCACGTGAAAAGACAGGATAAACTTGACTGTTAACAAAGAAAACTATAAAGTTTCTTCAGTGATAAGAACACTCAATAAAAATATCAACAGTTTTTTTAACTTCACAAACTCTAAAGTTCATATGGAAACATTAATGTGTAACAATCACGCCTAAGGAATTGCAGGCCAAATACTGGCCTCGGAAAATACTTTTTTTCTTGTATCACAGGCCAAAATCAATTTCCTTTAAAACATAAACTGTAAAGATAAACTGAAAGCATAAAAGATGCACCTAGACAAGGTGTGATGCTCATAGTTAGATAAAAACTGTTCTGAATTGTAAGAAAGATGCCCACGGTCACAGGAATCAGAGACATGCCAATGAAGCCTCAGTAAAATCTATCTGGTACCCACCAGACTGGAATTCACCATAAAGCTTGATACTATTCTCTGTCGGCAAGATATGTGGAAGCCACCAGCCACTCATTGTCAAGATGTCTAACCAAGGCGGCTTGCTCCCCTGAGGGCAGTTTCGCAACACTGGCAAAGTGCATAGTATATCCCGGATGCCTTGCCACCGTATCCAGGGACTCGTCCCGCTAATACAGTTACACCCAGGCAAAGAGATGTCTGTACCAACGATGTTTTCTGAAGCATCTTTGTAATAGTACATAATTGGAACCAAGCGGCCGTTAGTCCTATGGGAAGGTTAAGTATGGTGAGGCCTATCTGTCAATGCTATTCTTTGTAACAATTCTTTGTACAATTCTATAGGATGAGCTGTGTGATACATTATAGAGTGTGAAAGGGGAGCTGCAAAATGTTCGGGGTGGTGGACTGCCCTTAGGAACCCGCAAGAAGCAGGAGAAGACCATATATTCACATGCACTTGCAAGGGCAGAAACTAGCTCTGGATCTTTTCGGGGACAGTGGTGGCAGGCAGCTTGAGCTGGCCAGAAGGTGTCTTGCATTCTGTGTTCCTAGTAAAACAAAATCTGTGTGTCATTTCTGCCCTAGAGTTAGAGCATCCATTTGTTTGGGGGAAAGTGAAAAGCTGGCCATTAGGTAATACCGTATAAAGTTCCTGTGGAGGGGATGTCTACATAGCTTGGGGAAATTGGAACATAAAAATTGTCACACATGGTTATGCTTCTGTGGATTTGAATCATCCTCTTTGAAATAGCATAGGATAGGAGGGCCCTTGTTGCTGATGTTTCCTCTGTAGGAATTGTACTTCACTGGGCTGGTGCGTGCGTGCGTGCGTGCGCGCGCGCGCGTGTGCGTGCGTGCGTGTGTGCTCACCCAAAGGCTTGCCTGCAGCCCAGTCTTCTCGAGGCATTTTCTCGACTGAGCTTCCCTCTTCTTGAATGACTTTGTCAAGAGGACAGAAAGCACCTATCCTAGCAGATCCCCAGAGGTCCAAAGCACCATTTTCTCTGTCCCAAGCGACATGAGGCAAAAGCTGAAACCAATGAAAGAGTTTTGGCCCCAGCACTAAGACTTTATCGTTGACATGGAACCCACAGTCCTAAGCTCTGAACTGCTCTCTGCTGTGAAGAACGGGGGCCTCTTAGAGGAGGGCAGTTCCACAGCCTGCAGAGAAACTAGAACATAAGAAAAGCTATGGAGCCTCCTGCTCTTTCCAGAAATCAGGGCTGCCGTAGAGAGCAGTAAAAGTATTTTTTTAACAAGGAGCCAGCTTGCAGTACCTGCCAGTGGCAACGTGGTGGTCATCTGAACAGCACGCAGAAAAGAGAGGGGCCAGAGAAATGTGATTTGCCACACCAGGATAAGTTCACAAAAAGCTGTGGATTATGGATGGCACCAAAGTTAATTTAAAAAAAAAAAGACATACAGAAAGGTGGTTGTGGTGAAAAGTAAGAAAGTCACTTGTATTATTTCTGTAAGTTGGGGGATTTTACATATGGGTATTTTACTTTTCCAGTAAATGTCTTTTTTTATGAAGTATTGTTATCTGTATGTTTCTAGCTATGAAACCAGGAAGGAAAAGTCACAGGGAACCACGAAGTCAGGAAAGAGGGAAAGACCATTAGGTGGAAGATGAGCCCCCGCTGAGCCAGCCAGCCAAGCAGGCAGCCTCCACAGACCAGCACGCCAGCGCACCAGAGCGGTCAGGTGTTCTACCGTGATGAATTAGCTGCGTTCTTAGGGAGGAGAAGAGACATGCAGACTCAATCCCTCATCTCCTAGGAAACCTCCAGATGACCCCACTAATTATAAGATAATAAAAGGATCTAGAAGCCCTAAATAATTCTCACAGACTAGATCCATCTGTCACCGTGACAAGACAATGGGCTGCGTAACTCCGGCCAAGTGAGACTTACAATGTTAAAATTTTGGAAAGAGACACCAGGTTGCAGTAAAACTGGAGACTGTGTAAAAGGCTCAGGTTTACAAATTTTACTGAAAGAACAAATGAATAGTAAGTGGAAGAAGAGGCTGCGCAACCTGTATGCCAGGAGCTCGTTTTTTTCGGTCTCTTGGAAGATGAACAATATTCCATGCTCAACCAAAGATCCAACTGACTCCTACCGTGTCCTGGCCTGGCTCCGCAGTATTTTTCGATCTGGAAGATAATTCACGCTGAGTAAATATAAAAATAAAATATCTAAAGCATTAAGAAGTATAACATTGAATGCAGAAATAGTAAAGAAATAAGCTAACGCATAAAACTGATGCTTTTAGGCTTAATGGAAGTGGAAACATAGTCATAAATTTGGGGGATTGTTGGTTTGCTTTGCTTTGCTAATGAGACAGGGGTCTCATGTAATCCAGTCTTGCCTCCAACTCACTGTATTGCCAAGGATGGTCTTGAACTTCTAATCCCCCTGCCTCCACCTTCTGTGTGCTGAGATGACATGCGCTCTATCATGTCCAGTTTATGTAGTGCTAGGGATGGAGCCCAGGTTTTCAGGAACGCTAGGCAAGCACCCCAACAACTGGTTACAACCTCGGCCCTCTTAAGTTTTGAAAAACTTACGTGCACATGTATGTGTATGTAGGCATGTGTGCCGTGTGAGTGCATGTCCGTAGAGGACAGAGCTCAACCTCAGATGCCATCCACCTTGTTTTGGCTTTTTAGACAAGCTCTCTCACTGGCCTGAAGCTCACAGAGTAGGTTTATCTGACCGGCCTGCAAGCCCCAAGGCCCTCCTCGTGCTGTGATTACAAGCCCAAGCTACCACACTAGGCTTTTGTGAATGATGGTTCCGAGGATCAAACCCTGGTCCTGTGCTTTCTCGGCAAGGCTATCCTCCAGCCCAAAACAACTCACGATAATATACATCTTAACATAGCGAGATCAGAGGGTCTCTCTCTGAAAGCCCAGGCACCCTGGTTCATTTCAGCTGTCTATGACTATGTACAAGCAATCCTAATTCACCAGCTTATGAGAGCAGCGTCAGTCTGTCTCTCCATCTCAGAAGTCAGGAGTCAGGCAGGCTGGCAAGGGAGTTCTGCTCTGTCGACTATTCACTTGGACACTGGGAAATTTTCAGGTGGTGATGTGGCATGAGGCTTGGGACCAAGAAAGATCCACTCAGATTTTCCTAAGACTTCACAGGATCGCTGGAAGGTAGACTCTGGGACCCTGTATCTCATGATCCCTCCTGGGTCATAGGGACCATGAGACTTCTTACCAGAACCAGGGTGAAAATCTCAGAACAGGCATAATGTCACTTCTGCCATAGTTTAATGGTCAAATTAGCCACTGGCCAAACCACATTTAAAGGAGCAAGATGGACTTCACACAGATCTTTAAAGTGAGAGCAGATCGCATTGAATCTTTCTGCCTCACTGAGGACTGGGAAATAGGTCAAAGCCTTTGGCTCAGGACTAGTCAGGAGCTGACAATGATGACGGCAGTTAACCCCCAGGATTTTATTGAGTGTTTCCTAGGTGCCTGGCAATGCTATGAATACTTGGAGTTTATGTTATTGAATATTTGCAGCACCCCTGCGAAGAATCTCTTACCGTCCCTGTGTGTAGATTAACAGGCTGACTCATCTGACCATGATCAGATGGCTCACCCCAGAACCACACTTTCCCGAGAGGGGAGGCTGAAGCGACCCACAGCTGCAGGTGATGTAGAGCTTTCTACCCTGAACAGAGGGCCTGGACAATGTCCTGAGAGCACTGGGGTCTTGGTGGAGCAGGGCCCACACTGTGGATAGGGAATACAGGAGGAGCGGGAAAGTGGGAGGCAGATGAGGAGACTCACACTGGGAGATATGAGAAGTAAGGCATGAGAGAAGGGGAGGTGGGGGGAAACAGAAGCATGTGAAAGTAGAAACTGGAGGTGAGAAGGCAGGACTTGGGGGGTTAGGGACAGAATGGACCCAAGAAGAGCTCCAGAGGCAAATTTCCCATAGTTGTACCCCAAGCCTAATCTAGACACTGTGGAGACATGCGTAACAGCGCTCACTCCCTTCTATGATCTGCTCTTTGAAGAAAGGACAAGGACCCTCCCTGCACTCTTGCATACTTGGATCTTAGAGAAACTGGAGGGCGACAGGCTCCAGTCTGCAGACCCCTGTGGCCTACATTGGTCAGCAACTCTAATCATTGAAGACCCACCCCCAAAGCAATGTGACACAAGACAGTGGTTAAAAGCTTCTGCATCAAGTAAAATCCAGTCTGAATCACAGATCTGGGGCTGCTGACATCTAAACTCTCCTGGCTTCTGTTTGTCTACCAAAGGGCACGATAGGAATGCTGCGTGGTAAGACACATCACATACCGAGCATAGGGCTTAGGGCAAAGTCATTACCGAGCAATTAATAGCAACAATAACAACAGTAGTAAATCCTGCCCTCTTTGCTTTCATTCTTTCTCAGCTCACATTGGCTTCTCCCCTCTCCCTTACCCTGCTGTACAGCCGACCAAGGATGGCGATGATGTTTCCGGACGTTTCTGTCTCTTGGATCAACTCTTGGCACTCCTTCCCAAAAGAGAGTTAAATAGCTTGGAAACCGGAGCTAGGGTTTCTGCTCCCCCTCCCTCTCCCAAGGCCCAGGTTGTTCTGGTCAGGTACCCATAGGAGCACAATAAAGACTGATTGGGCTAAATGGGCAATTTATGGCTTCTCTTTGAACAGGCCTTAGATGATTACCTTTTATGAGGCTTACACTTTAGACTTAAGATGTAAAACAGAAGCTTCGGCTAGGAAGCAAATAATGGGATATTTTATGTGCTGTTCTGGAACAAAAGTCCACAGCTTTATGGCAATGGCTGTAAAAGGAGCATGATTGGCGACGTTTTGATTGAGAAACCCACATGGAAAGATCTCCGGGTCAGGAGACCAGAGGCCGAAGTTTCCCACCATGTAACACCGCCTAGCCAGGCCTGATAGTCTCTGTCTTCATATGCAAAGCCGGGGACCACCCTCTACCCCACCCCCACAGCAAGACCTTCTCTATCCTAACTGCCCGTGGTTCCTGGGTTCCCACATCTAAAATGCTTTCTTCTTGGCTCTTGGAGATTCCAAATGTTGGTTCTCCAGACATGTTTAATCTAGGACACTGAACTTGCAGGCACTGTCTGAACCGCCTCCTGATTCTAGAGTAGAGAGAGCATTGCAGGCATCGACCTATAGTTGGGAGGCCTGGATTCAAGTTCCCACTCCCTGCACATCCCAGCGTGACTTAGGACAAGACACAGTATATAATGGAGATGAAGCCCAACACTGTGGGATGAGGTGCTGGAAAGACTGAAACAGCTTGCAAAGGAGCTGCTCTTGTGTCTGACACAGAGGAAGCGCTCGAGCTCGGTGTGGGTATTGTTAATGTCCCAACACTCAACGAACAGAACGTCTGAAAAATTTAAATTGACCCATCGCACAGGACCCTGAGATTTTGGCACTGTCACCTTAGCTCTGTGAGCCCAGCAATCGAGGAGCAGGGCTGTCAGCACAGCCATGACCACCAGAGGGCAAACTCGGGTTGCTGGTCTGCCAACCCTGAAGGGCCAGGAGTTGCTCCGGAGCCAGCCCTTCTCCCCTTGGCTCCTTTAGTTTTTTTCCTCTTAAGGGAACAGAGAGCCCTGGCATAGGAAGAAACAGTTGAAATTACCAAGCTTTTCTAAAAACTCGAAACTGGCAGTGCAAAATGAAAAGCGACCCTATGAGCTAGGTTTGTTATGAAGTGAGCTTCCGGTGTGCAGCTTTAACACCTGGCTCCTGGCTGAGCGTTGGCATCAGCATATTGAAGCCTTCTCCAGGAGGTGGCCCATTGCCCAGGTGCCTAGTGTCTGACTCCCACCTCCACGTGATGCTGAACTTACAAGGGTCACCCCCAGGCTGTTGGGTGCAGAGGCCAGGATTCAGACGTGAACCTTCCAAAGACAGTGGTTTGTCCTGGATAAGCTGATCCTAGAAAAGGGTAGCTCATAAGTGACTTGAAGAAAACCAGTTAAGAAAGAGCAGGGGTCTGTTTCAGATACCAGGCTATTACATCCGTAAGGCTACCCATCAACAATCCTTAGGGAAGGGGGTTTTAAAACAACACTATAGGGGCCCTGCAGAGAAAGATCTGTTCCGTTTCAGAGCTGAACCTAAGATAAAGTCAGGTGTAGGGAAATCAGACCCAGGTATGGCGCCAGGCAGGAAGGAGGTGGGAGACTGCTGCTCCTCAGCAACCTTGGCCAAGGCCTTTTGATGTCTGACTTCTGGTACCCCAGGGTCAGTTGAGACGACAGGAGGGGGCCCTAGTGGTCCCTCCTCGGCCCTGGGTGCCGAGCTCCTGGATACCTGGGAGGCGCTGGTGGCCAATATTGACTTTGGTAAACACCATTTTGCACCGAGCGCCCAGCGAGGGCGGGGGCGCCCTGACCCGGGGGCGGAGGCAGCGGCTCCGCATTTAGACGAGGCCATTAGCAGCGATCGATGGCTGCTCCGCGCGCTCCGGCCGCTGGGCGCTCCCAAATGAAGGTTAAGTTTGCTCTGCGCCCCTGCGAGGCAGGCCATGCGCCCGCATAATGGCCCCAGGCCCGGCGGCCCGCGTGCCCAGGTTAAGCTCAAGCGGCATGGTTAGGAAGATGCAGAGAGAAAGAAGCTTGGCCCCGACAGGGCCAGGGAGGGCTGGGCGGTTGTGCTTAGACCACAGTGTGAGTGCCCTGGTCTGTCTCCCTATGGGTCACTCCCTGGGCTCCTGTGGCTTTTGTCTGGTTGTTTGGTGTATGTTGAGCTTCTGCATTGGCTTCTGGGCACCGGTTGGAACGCATGGTCTGCGGATGGTGTAAGTGTGTCTGACCCGGCAGCCTGGTCCTGATCTGGCACTCTCGAATTAGCCAGTCTGGGAAGGCAGACACCTGGGTGCTATTCTTCTGACTGACACTCGTCTCTACCCAGCCTAGGTCTCACTGCTCACTGCTTGGAACCTGGTGAGCGTGATCTAGATAGACAGGGAGGTGTTCACACGTGTCCTTGTGGGTACAGGGGTTGTAGGAGTACACTGGAGGCTGTGTGTAACCAAGGGCATGGTTGTGTCAAGGTGAACCTGGTTCTGCAACAGCAGGTTGAGGAGCTCCAGGCTGGAAAGAACCTCCCTGGGCCCTCTGTAGCCCAAGCAGCTCTGTACCCCAAAGGGACAGCACTGGGCCAAAACTCCGAGCTGTTTCGTCGGTCAGCTCTACCTGGGATTGAGGACGGTTGCCACTTTGCATATTTAATGAATGCACCCGAAGTGCCCAGTGGAGCAACGCTATCACATGAATTCTTGTACTTACTCCACTTTGTGCAAAATGAGGAAATGGAGACTCGGAGAAGGGAAACAACTTGCCAAGGCAACGAAAGCCAACCAGTGGAGGACACGGGTTTCAAAACAGGTTTGGCCTCCTGCACCTGGCTAACCTGTGGCTGCCGTCTTGGGGATAGGCGATTTGAAATGTCAGGTCCCTGGCAAGCAGAGGGATGAGAAGAACTCTGAATACAGCTGCCTAGATGCTTCTGTCTCTTTGGCAGCCCTGCCCAAACCCCTGTTAGGGCTGAGGAGACAGCAAGGCTCAAAGATGGAATAAGAGTTGCCTCTACTCAGACAGCAAGTTAGTGACAGAGAGGGAGCAAGGTGCCACTGACCCTCTTGGCTTCTGTGCTGGGTGCCCCAGGAGAAGGCCATGTTCTAGAAGGCAATCATTAGGGTTTGGGGGGGGGAGGGGGAGAGACCAGTCTCTTCACTAGGAACTGAGTGCCTTGTTGTCTACTTAGACAAAATCCTGGTTCTCTCATGACTCACACCACATCAGTAAGAGAAGTCTGGCAGACCTTTGAACTCTGAGTGAAAGACGTGATGGGTAGAGTAGAAAAGGTTGTATACTAACTCCTGGGGACATTAGAGAATACCTGTAGACATGTTGTTACAGCAGGTGACCCAAGAATATTGATGTCCTCTGTGATGGTGGCTCATAAGGAACACGAGATACACAGAAGCTCCCCTTCTATGAGTTTGGGTCCAGTTGGACCAATACAGTCTGCTCTGCCTCTTAGCTTTATCCCATCAGCAAACTTTATCATGTCAGATAAAGCTATAAAGACCTATAGTAAGGCTCAGTGAGATGAGAGCTGGGCACTGCTCAGGACACTTCCTGCAGGAAGACCAGTGGATTCAGGCCAAGTGAGACCCAGAACCCCACCCCCACCCAAAAGTGCAAGGAGGAGCCAGGGGAGGGAACAGAAAGATAGCACCAAGCCCAGGAGGGGCAACAGCTTGAACACATTTTTCCCAGTTGAGGAGGCTAGAGATTGACTTCTCTGCTGAACTTTGACCTCCAAGTCACATATCTTCTTTGAACTGTCAGGCAGCCCCCAGCCCTGTCACTCTCCATCTAAGTGAGGGCAAAAGTGAAACTCCAGCCCTGCCCCGGAGCAGTCCTCATGAGCTCTATGCCTGGATTTCTTGCGTATGTGTGTGTGCGCGCACACCCGTGCACACATGCGCACACATGCACACCGTATCTTCTAGCCAAGACTCACTACACATTCCTGGACCAAGCTCCTTGGCTATCTCTAACAGCCCGAGGTCCCTGGTGGCTTCTCTCCAGCCTGGAAAGGGAGAATCAAGTCACCGTCCAGGACTGGGCAGGAATCCTGTTCCCTACCACACACACGACAACCTGAGGAAGTGAGGAGCTTTCCTCACTGAACTCAGTGGGCCACAGTTTGCCTAAAGACCCTTGGCAGGAGACTCTCTATGAGAATGCAAGTGTTCTAGAATGCAAACCCATGACTTGACATGTTTGCTTTCTTCCCTCACTCCAGACAATGGCCAGAGGAAAGGGAGATACACAGTCGTGTCTCCGGTACCACCAGCACCTCCTCTCACAGAAACTCAGACCCTGAAGGAAGCAGGCCAGGTATTCTAGCCCAGTTTTACTTGTGAGGAAGCCAGGGCTTATAAAATTGAGGGAACCTGTCCAAGAACAAGTGACTTGCCTCCAAAGTGGCAGAGGCGGGATTCCAATGCAGGTTATGTGATCAAGGCTCAGAGGCAGGGCTGCGGTGAGACCAGAGCAAAAGCTGAGAATCGGGTGGGCATTCCAGTGTCTCAACTCCCTACCCGCTGACCCACCAGCAAGCACAGATCCCCCTGACTCCTCTGAGTCCGCCTCCTTGCAAGGAGTTGGAAGGTTCTCTACCAGCTGAACCCAGAATTCCCTCTTGGTGTAAGCAGTCTCTGTATCTGGTCACAGCCTATCACTCAGAAGTGCCCAATAATTATCTGTTGAGTAACTGAGATCCCAACTCATTCTAGAACATTCAGAAAGTATTAATGTAAAAGACATGGGGAGGTAATCATGGAAGATGGAGGTCGATTTAATGTGAAAGACTCACTAAGTTACCACTCTGAAGCTTTTTCTTTGTTATTTTTTTAATCTATTATCCTCCTTTCCTTTACTATAGGTGGGAACTGGTGGTTTAAATGAGAAATGTCCCATATAGGCTTATGTTTTTGAGCACTTGGTCCCCAGCTGGTGGTGCTTTTAGGGAAGGTTATGGAACCTTCAAGCGGCAAAGCCTTGGT